TAAATAGCGATTCACTTATTAATATCACAGTTTTTCATCTTCCAATGTACAATGTTATCACAAATGTTGTGATGATGCGGACATAATTAATGTTTACAATGTAGAGAAGAATATGATTCATCCACATTCTACTCCACACTCTAGATAGCCAATGAGGAAAAGAGAGAAAATTTTTATTACCATTCTCAAACTATTTAATTATTTAATTAATTTTATAAAATCATATTAAAATTTTATTATATGGCAAGTAGATAATATTGTAATTAAGCAACATTATGCATTGGAGTCGATTTTTTAATTTAATAGTTGTGAACTCAACATTTGTCCTACATGGTTCACAATCTATTTAATTTTTTGATATTTGTCAAAAAATATTCTATAACAACATTAGAGCATTGGAGATGTTCTTATATAAAAAGTCATCCCATTTACTAGAATTAGTAAGAAGAAAAGTCAAATCATAATTAATTGCACACGATATTTAGATTTTTTAAATCATAAAATAAGGTAGCATTAAATGCTCCTAAAATTATGAGTTTTATTGAATTCATTTTTAACAAAATTTGGGTCCAAATTTACGTGTGGTTTTGAAGTGAAAATTTGAAATTCAAAATCTCTTCTCATTTTAGTTAAAACAAAATCGGGCTGCATTCAACGCTTGGACCAATTTAAAAATCATTACTTAAATGAAGAAATTTATAAATAACCGTTATCGCTACTCAATCACATGATTATTTTCAATATAAAAAGAGACAGATACAAATTAGTGAATCGTATATTACCTAATTTAATATCTTAACATTAAAGAATAAATCCATAGTATTATGTAAATCCGTATCTCATATTATTTTATCATTAAGAATATATTAAAGTTATATTATCAAATCATAAAAAGATATTAAATCCATATTGTAAAAAAAACATATAATTTTATAACAATTCTACTACACTATTTAATAGTATTCCTTTTTATTATATAGTAAAATAATAATTAAATATTATATGGTGAGCAAGAATAAGTAAAATTGTTACTTTATCTTATATTAAGGGATAAATTTATATGTTAAGATTAATTTTTTATTAGTATAAATATTTTAGTAAGATAATATTTTAATTATTACAAGCTAGCCCTAACATGCTCATATTCAATGTTTTGGATAAAGAAACAAGGTTAGAAAATGCGGAAAAAATCTTATAACCCTATTGTTTTTTAGACTTAACGAAAATTAAAAGAGATAGAAAATAGATAATAGTCTTATTACTTTTTAGACTTAAACGAACAAGACTGTGAAAAAAAACTCATTTAATATATATGTCGCGTGCATCGCACGAGATACGTACTAGTTGGTAGGAACCCTAATGATGTTTTATATTTTTTATTATTATTAGTTTCAGATATTTATTTTTGTTTTTTTAGTAAGTAATCAATTTAGTGTTAATACCATTAAATAGCCAAAAAAGTTTACAAAACACAAATTTTGGCCACTTTTTGTTAAAAACATCTTTTTAGCCATTTTAGCAATAATTTTACTACATTACCCCTAACTCTAAATTTCTTTTACACAATTTGTTTGACCGAAATATTTCAAAAATTAATTCAAAAAATTCTTCAAAATTTTTGTTCAGCACCCCCGCTCCCACTCCTCTGCACTTCATCTTCACCAAAACTTCATCTCTTGCATCTTGCATCTTTGTTTTTTTTTTTTTTTTTTNNNATTTTATAATAAGTTTTATATTGTTCTTTTTTGTTTCCAATTTAATATTTTTAGGCGATATTCTCGAAATGGTTGAATATATTGATAATCCTCCATCTCCACCTAAGTATCCATCCATGGCTATGTAAGATTGTAGAATGATGTGGATTGCATTTTTGGTGCGACATTACAAAAAGGGACATTAGTCTTGCCAAGTATCATGTTGTCGAAGGCACTACTCGTTGAAGGCAAACGGGCGATCGATATGTATTTGACCGCGGACAATGGTAGGCAAACAACCATTAATCAAACATGTAAAAAGAAGTTCAGAGTGAAAGTATCCATGGCCATTTCCAAGTGGATGTATGACGCGGCTATCCCTTTCAATGCTATTACTTATTCAAACTTCCAAAACATATTGAATCACATCGGCCGGTATCGTGTAGGTCTTCAAGGACTATGTATGAGGTCAGGGTGTCTTTCCTTAGTAAAGTGGTGGAGGACGTGGATAATGATTATATCAAGCTACGTAAGGAAGAATGGGCAATTGCACTTTGACGTGTGATGGTTAGACAGATGAGAAGCAATGAACCTGTATCAATTTCGAGGTGAATTCTCCTAGAGGTACCGTTTTTCTTGAGTACGTTGATGCTTCCTATTATGCGAACACGGAAAGGAAGATATTTGAGCTTCTTGATAAATTTGTGGAGCGTATTGGTTAATCAAATGTTATCCAAATTGGTTAATCAAATGGTGCTTGCCAATTAGTTAAATTACGTGTTATTTAATTCATTTTGATTGTTCCATGTCTCCTCATTGATGAAATATTCTCTCTTGTAGGAAAATTGCTAGAAGACAAACAACCTCATTTATTTTGGACTTCATGTGCGGCGCATTGTTTAGACTTGATTTTGGAAGATATAGGCAAATTGTCTGATGTCAAAGACACGTTGACCAGGGCCGCCTCAGGTGCGAGGCGATCTGGCCCTTGCCTCTCGCAAAGGCGTCGCCATTTTAAAATATGGTTGCGGGATGCGAGACACTTGTAGATGAAAGATGATTTCTTCTTGTAGAAGATTTTAAGAAATTTAACAAACATCCGTGGAGGAATTTAAGCACACATTGAAGTTGTTTTAATGCAACACATCTGAAACTTAGATCCTCCGATCATCAAGTCAGTATCTCGAATATGAAGTGTATGATTAGGTCAATGATCAAAAATACCTTGAAGCTATAGCTATACCTCTCTTTATTTATCAGAGTGATTACGTTGCTGCTTAAGAGCTCTATATTTTGTTGCCCAAAAATACCTTGCTGCCCAAGCACTCTATATCCTGTTGCTAAAGAATACCTTGCTGCCCGAGAATTCTATATCTTGTTGCCCAAGAACTCTGTCTTCTCAAGGTCGACCAAGAGCTCTCTTGGGGAACAAAAAAACAGATCCTTGTTGCGCGAGCTCGGCCAACTAAGTTTTGAGTTATGCAGGTCATAGGTCAATAACTTGACCTGACGCCCTCCTTGTACCAACTGGACCTACTCAAACTACTTGGTCTAAGTCGAGCTGAGGGAGCTTAAAATTCCAGAACCGAGCTTCGATTCAGGACCAAGCTCTCTATGCTACATCACCGAGGCTGCTGCAAAATTTCAATTGTACGAGACGAGCCTCCTCGGAAGCGCATAGAGACAAACAAATTAACAATGAACTAGTAGTACCACCAGTCTGAAAAGAAAGAAATACAAGAAGACAATTATTTTGCCTGCACATGTATAATACATTGCCATTAAAATGTTTATCCATCCTTTAGAACAACACAATTTCAGATCAAACCACAAATCTCTTCACTTCTCTGCATCACTGAACCGTGTTTCTTTCATCATCTTTGAAGAAGTAAAAATAGCATGCACGCACCAACATTTTTTTTTTTCTTTGATTTTTATTTCTTTGCAAATGACAACTACAATATTATCAATTACTGCACTCACAGTCACTGCGTATCCATCCAAACTCAGAACAAAGAAACCGAAAGGCTCCACACAACAGCTCGACTTTCTTCGACTACTACGGCCGTCTGATCAGTTCATCGACTGGCCCACCCCCAGCACCAAAAAAGTCAAAGCGGCCACCGCAAACCCTGTGAACAGCGCTTGGCCCGACGCCCGGCTGGCCCCATTCCTCTTAGGCAGCTCCTTGGGCAACGCACACTCCTCCCCATTGAAAAACACCTTGCTCGGGAACCCATCCCCACCCGGCACATTCACGTGTGTGATCCCTTTCTTCGTGAACGAGATAACCGACTGCTGCTTCCCGGGTACTCGCGGGTCCCTGTCCGGGTGGGTCCCGTTAACCTCCCCGACCAGGTAGTTAAGCCCTGGCATACCCTGCATGAAGATGGTTCGATCGCGGTCTCCGAGCTCTGTCCCGTTGAATGAGTACACCTTATCGAAGCCCGGCCGAGCCTTCTTGAGCTGGACGGCGGTATACCAGTCAGCAAATGCATAATCGTCCCAGTTAAATAACGTGAGGCGCGCGGTCCACCCTTTCTTGTAATCTGAGTCGATGTGCCAGTTGATGCTGACCCCACAGTTGTCCGGGCAGGGCAGCTTGCGGGGAACCGAGCGGTGCTTGATTCTCGCAAAGGCCAGGGCTTTTTCGGTCCGGTTTGCAAAAGGGACGAGAAGGGCACTGGTCGGGAGGAGGAGCGGGTTCGCGTTCGCGTCGCAACGGGGCTTCTCGTCGTCAGGGTCGCAGCCGCATGCGCACGTGGGGCAAGGGACGGCCGCATCCGAGTAGTAGGCGGAGTAGGAGACGCAGCACTTGGCCGCCTTAGGCTTTGGGCGGGTCATGTTGCAGGTGACCCGCCAGCTGGCGATGGCGGAGGTGGTGGCGTCGATCCCCCTCGGGTCGGGGAACTGGGACGGGTCGACTCGGATGGGTGGCCCGCACTTATAGGTGGGGTTGAGGCGGCCCTGGATCTTCCAGTTCTGTGGGGGGTTGAGTGCCGTGCGGTTCATGTCCGGGGGAAGCTTGAAGACCTCGAGCTGGAAAATGGCACGGGACTTGGTCTCGTTCATGGTCTTGGGGAGGAGGGTGCCGTTGTTGCAGCAGAAGGGGAGGCGGCCGATTTTGTCGTCGTTGGCGGACTCGGGTGGGAGGTCAGCAATGACGGGGTGCTTCTCGCAGGTAACGACGGTCGAGAAGTCGAAGTCCTTGTAGTACTGTCCCTGGGGGCCGTAGATGCACTCGGAAGGGTCACGGTGGTGGGTGTAGGCCCCGCGCATGCTGTAGATGAACTCGTTGCGCATCCATTCCCATGTCAGGTTCCACTGGTCGAGCCGGCCGAGGGGATGGTTGTTGTCGAGCGTCACTTGGGCGAGGTACTTGTTCTCATACGCTTGGAGCACGTCGTACGTGAAGTCCAAGTCCCCGTACTGGCGCGGGAGGAACTTGGTCTTCTTGGCCTTGGACTTGAACTTTGGGTCCTTTTTGCAGCAGACATACATGTACCCAGCTGCGTTAAAGAAATGTATCAATCCTACAACAAGAAATAAAATAAAATAACGAAAAAAAAAATGAAAGAAAAAGATTAATGTTGTACATTTACGGGTGGCGGCTGGACATTTATACCCTTGGTTGACGAGCCTGAGCGCACGGGGCATAGGGGTAGCCTTGGCACTGACTCCAAACATGGTCCCCTTGAGGTTAACCTGCACCTGCATCTGGGTGTAATCAGCAGCCGTGTCAATAGCTGTCTTGAGGTCAGCCTGCGGGTAGCCTGCAAGGATGGTCCCATTATTCCCGACCCGCACGGGGAACCCTTCCCCATCAACAACCACAGCCCCATCGGCCGACACCAGCAGCTCGTGGTGCTGGAACCCCACAAACACCTGCCACGACTTGAGCTCCTCCGACCCGGCATTCAGCACGGTGACCATGGCCTGGAAAGACCACGCCTGAGCCGACACGTTCTTGACGAGGGGGTATTCTTTCTCCCGACCCTGGAATGAGTAGGAGATGAAGATCCCGTTGCAATGCTCAACCTCCTTTGGTGGGGCCTCGGGAGTGTCTGAGTCCGTGGCGGAGCCATAGTCCTGTCCGTAAGATTTGTTAGGGGCGAGGGCTGAGAAGAGAATGGCGAGGGCGAATGTCAGGTTGCTCCGCCACGGGTTTCTCATGCCCGATAGTCGTTTCAACATCTCGGGATAGGGGAGCACATAAAAGAACAAGAAAAGAAGAAGAAGAAAAAATGTTTTTGTGTGATGAGATTTTGGTGGTTTCGGAGGTTAATTGCCTCCAGCAGCAACGCACCCCTGAGAGAGATGACAGGGTTTGTAGGGGACAGAGAGATTTTGTAGGGGCTAAATTGGAGGGCCATTATGTTCCTCAAGTTTTAACGGATGTTACGGGGTGAATTTGTTGAGAGGGAACTTTTATTCAAAAAATGTTACTGCAAGTTAAAATATTTTCTTCGACTAAATGCAATCATATTATAGTAACTGTATTTCCTTCCTTCCATTTCTAATTTACGGTAATGCTATGGTCTCGTTACGGAACCATTTTTTCGAGGTTTGTAACCGTTAGATCATCATGTAACCGTCGGAGATAGTTGATCTAATGGATACAACGCCCGACAGAATAGTTCCGTAACGGGACCGTAACATCTCCCTCTAATTTATTTTGACATTTTTTTCTTTTTGCTGGAGACAACCAGAGAATAAGGAAGAAACTAACACAAATCCTGTAGAAAGATAAGGAAAAGTTATCGCCATTCTTGAAAACAAAATCAATCAATCAATCAATCAATCAACATACCCAGTATATTCCCAACAGGTTGGGGTCTGGGGGATCAGTTGTACGCAGACCTTATCCTTGTAATTATACAAGGAGGCTGTTTCCATAGCGACCCAAGGTGCATTGCGTCGTTTGATATATTTTTTTCTAGAAACTTCACTAATAGAAGAAGCACTAGAATTTAATTGAGCCATTTTGATCTAGTCCATTATTAGCACTATGACAAGAGAATTGTCAACAACGACTCTTCAATTTTAAAATTCAACTATAGCTTATTGACGAAGATGAGCAAGCCTTCCTTCTCAAAGTTAGGTAAACGTTATAGAAGTGATGTTTCTACAAAACATATACAATCGTGCAACTCGAAAGGTAGAGTCCAAGAAAACTGACAAAATACAAACACTTGTGAAGCTGTCCAATCCAACTGCATTTCATCAATCAAAGCTGTCCAAAGGTATCGTAGCAAGTGAAGTTGAACGACCATCGACTGATTGAATAGCACGATCGGTAAGTGCTTAAACTGAAAACAGAAATGGAAAGGAGAATACAGAATCGGAAAACGCATGTAGTTGGACAAAATATTATTTCCTCATATACTTGCATCAGACCAGAAGATGATGATGATAACAACTCAAGAAAACACTTCCATTTATAGACAAAATCCAGTTGCAGAAAAAAAAGGATAAAACACCATATATTCCAATTTCTCCCCTATCATCAGTCAGTGGCATCAGGATTACTACGCCTCCTCACATACCGGCTGGGCCCAGGCCCATCCTCCTGACCACCGGCCCCCTCATCCTCAGCTTCCCCATCATACCACAGCCTCCTCAAAGCCCTCACGGTATCACCGCCCCTTGACCCGTCCGAACCTCTCGGGGGCCCAATGAACCTCACAAGGAAAAACATGATCAGCCAGCCGCCCTCGTTTATCTCGTTTTCCATGGACATACGGAGGGTACTGAGCAGGTCCCCCAGGTCCCGCTCCCTCTCCAGCCTCCGCCAGTTGTGCTGCATCTCCGGGTCGACATCAGCGGGCCTTGCCAGCGGGTGCACCAATCTCGCGTGCCTCCTAAGCTCCTTGTAGCTCCCACTGTAGTCACACGTCTCGGATGCGCAGCTCCTTACCTTAGCGTTCATCAACTCCCGGGCCGGCTCGACCACAACCCACCCACTGACCGAGCCCCGGCAAAGAGGGCAGACCAGCTGCTTCGGCTTGTCCAAGGCCTCGGGATCATCGCTGAGAAACGACTTGCGGAACTGGTCGAAGCAATTGGAGTGGCGGTAGCTCGTGTCGCAAATGAAGGGGCGGCAGCCCCTGCCGTGGGACGAGCACGTCAGGAGGATGGCGTTGTGGGGGTGTTCCATGCAGACGGGACACCTGGCATCCTCCCATTGCTTGCTATTGCTGTCGTTTTCTTCCGGAGGGTCTCCAGGAGAGAGTCGAGATCTCTTGAGGGGCATAAAATGGTCTCTTCCATCTTTAGGCATATTTGAGGGTATCAAGAGGCAGGCTGGCTTTTCTTTTGGACAGGTACCTAAGATATTGATCTACACAAGGAAACAGAGTGTATTCAGTCACTATGAAAGGATATTTGGTTAATCGACAGTACAGAGGATGAAGAAATATAAATAAATTCAGGCCTCTACCGAGAATTTTTAAAATTATTTAAAAAATTCTGTTGGTCTAGTTTGTAATATGGTCGAGACACTTTTGCTTTTCATTCAACATTGAGACCCTACATGCTGCAATGGATTATTAAGTATGGGAATAATTGTTTCCTCATGTCAATTATCAAGTAAACACTTGTGCTAGAAAAGGCTATATTGCAAGATCTGCTGCATCTGCAAATTTTAGAAACAGTTAAAGATAGTACATTAAGCATCTAAAAAGTAAATTTAATCACCATTTATTCATGGTTATTGTATTCATTTTAACACAATTGAAGTATTTAATAGTCATTGAGGGCTTTATGAATCCCCAAAACAGCCTCAACTCCTTATTGGTGATGAAATGTATCGACATCTCATCATCCACAAGCAGTGTCACAAATAACATAGACAGAAAAGGCTAAAATGTCAGCGTATAAACGCACAAACACAAATTTGGCAAAAACTTTGCCAAAACGGACAGTAAACACAACTCGACTATGGTTAAATGTTTATTCAAAATTAACTCAAGACCAGCGGTGCATGACTCGATGACGCAGTGTTTAGGCTAGGAACAGACTTTCTTTCCAGAAGAGTCTAAAGATTCTATTCAGTGACTAACTCACAAACTTACTTATTCTTCTTTTAATCTTTAGTTCTAACACCCCCCATAAGTATAAAACACAGCAAGGATCCATATCATGCAACAAGAAATTCGCAGTCGTATTTGACGAGATAGCTGCAAACAATACAAAATGTTCCAGACAGTTTAGATATGACATAATTTAGGTGTTGTTATCATTCAAACAGTTCTTCACCAATTAGATTTACGATAGGCTTGTTCTGTACCAAATAAACATGGGAGTGATGACTGTATATTTAAAACTCAAACAATTTTTTACCTAGTGACTAAAGAATAGAGAATATTTATCCTATTGCAACTTTGAACAGGTTAAAATGCAGGCTCCTTCGTCGAAACCCAAAACCTTCAATTCCATCACAGCCTTTATAACAGGAAAAGTACAAGTTACAACAATAACAAGGACCCAGAACCTCGATCACAAGTTCGGACAACAACAACGACCCATAATTTGAACGACCAACAATTTCCAAAAAATAAGAAAAAAATCCTCGTAAAGGGTCACAACAGAAACATAAGGGGCTACATCAATTCCAGACCATAAAAGCCATCAAAGATTACACCAACTTGTTTATTAAAGCCACAACCCTCGAGTCATAACAAATCAAATTGTACGCAGAACCAATCAAGAAACAGCTTTCATCAAGTTTAAACAAGTTATCAACCAAAGTAAACAACATTAGAGTTGTCATGATCATCACAGGATATGTTTCCCAAGTTAATAAGACACCAAAAAAACAGAATCAACCTCACGTCCTTGGAAAATCGAATAGACAGCCACAAAATCACACCAAAATTCACACAAGAAGGACAGCCCATCACCAAGGTTACAATTCTAATTCCGATTACATGAAGTCCCGATAAAGAAAACAAGAGACATGAAAATCTCACCGGTCACCAGAAAGCGAAAAGGAGAGGGTACATAAATTCAGATCTCTCAATCGAACTCAGCCCAGTTCGCCGGCGGCGAACAAGTGATGTGTAGGATTTGCCAACAGGAGCCGCAAAAAGGTTATTTTTTTCAGGCGAGTGTAGGGAGGTTATCTTGAATATAGAGGAGTTCGGTCATTTTGAATGTATGCAGAGAGAACGAGAGATGTGTATATAAAGTCGGCTAGTTGAAAGGTCTCTTGGATCACCTGTTTCGTGCAACCAGGTTAACTATTGACATTGAAAATTTGATTTTAAAATTTTTAAAATTATATAAAATTTCAAAATAAATATATATATAGTATTTTAATTATATAAGTATGCATAAAACTAACAAAATTAAATAATTTGTATCTATATTTTATACATTTAAATTGTATCTCATGATATATGTTTACCACTGTGTAGACATTATTTTTATTTAAAAATAGATTATCATTATAACTCATAATAATATACACTAGTATTAGACCCTGTGCATTTGCACAGCTGTAAATAAAATATTGTTAGTTATTTGTATGTGTATAATGATTAATTTTTTTCACTTTTTTGCAGGCTAAATATAGTTAAAGGAGTTGGAATATTTTTTTTTTTAAAATTGCGTTTATCTGATTGGATGTAATGTATATTTTGGTATATATTTTTTTTTGAATTATTTATTATTTATTTTAGAATTTCAAATACAATTTTTATTTAAAAAATTATTTAAATTTAACCACAGTAATATCATCTAATCACATTATACGGCCAACACATTATATGGTCAACTGTCACTAATCAAAAGTTTAAAATGTTTTTTGTAATTTTGAATTGATTAGTATTGGTTATTTAATAATTGAATGAAAGATTAAATACATCAAAAGTAACGGTTTTTGGAGGGAAATGGTTAAATTGCCATATATGTAAAATTAAATAGGTTTTATTAAATGTTATTAGCTAGTAATTATATATATAGATTATGTTGACGTTCGGGCGTAAACCTTACTAATTGTGAATAATGGGGGTAGTTTGATTGTGGGTTTTATGGAGAGTACAATATAGAATAAGTGTTATAATGTCTAGAAATGAATGGTAAGCATATATGAGCAAAGATATGGAACAGAAGTGGGGAACTACACAAGAGGAGAGACACCACGGATCCATGTCGAGGATCTACAAAGAAAATCGTATATATTTTGCGGAATTGTTGGTGTGTGTTTTCATGGGCTTCAAAGTCTAAATTTATACACATAACAAGTAAACAATCATCATGACTTAGGGGATAATTAAGGGCATAGGAAAGTGATACGCGTCTTCATGCAAACTCATGACTTTTGATGATTGGACAAGTTGGGCAGTCATTTATCAGTTTGCTTTGTCGATTCATGTCATATGCAGAGGGATCGTCATTCTTTGAGGGGAAGAATAGAAACAGATCGACATCCTCGCATAGATGTAGATCAAGAAGTGATTGACATCCTGACGTGAATGTGGATCGACAAGGCCTTGGTAACATGGTTTCTTGGGATATCCTTTTTAATAGTTTAGACCCAATCATCAACATATCTTATTTTCATTATTACTTAATCGGCTGACTCAGAGTAAATGTAATTTCTTACGTATAACATAGATGCCCCCAGGTTTTTAGAGGTATTGGAGATCGACAGATACGCCTAAAAAATTGTTTGCTTACTTTGCATCCGCCGGCCGATCTCTTCATGTGATCGGCAATGGCATGAGACGGGTTGTGATAAGATGTGTTTTCAGCGTCAATTACACTGGAATGTTCATATTTTTTATTTATTTTTAAAAAGAAAGTTTTAAAATATTTAAAATATAATTTATTATAAATAGAAATAAAAATTATCATATATTGAGGGTATATATTATTGTATAAATAAGTTTATAAGTTTGAATATTTAAATTATTTAAAATATATAAACAATAATATTATATGTTTAGTTTATTATTTAAATATTCTATATATTTAAAAATATTTATAAAATTAATAATCAGTGCCACCACTTAATTCCACCGGTTATGAAAAACTCGCTTCAAATATAGGGATATCCGTCTTCCCCAAAATTTCTCTCTGCATTATTTTATTTTATTTATTCAATCCTCTGATCTATACTTCGAGCTGTTACTGGAGAATACTCCCCATCGTTCGCGGGCTCGCCTCAACCCTGATTTATCAGGTCATACTTTTTATTATTCTTGTTTGATTTTGCTCGTACGTTTCTAATGGCTGTGCAAAACCCTAACCCTTTTCCTAAATTTAGAGCTGTTTGTTTACTTATTCATGATGAAGTGAAAAGGGATTGATTTTCACCTGGTAGTGAATTCGTATACATAATCTTGAGTTCTATTCTGTTATTCCATGAATGATGTGTGTTTTTA